CAGGCCCCTGCACTTGCACTTTTCTTGGGGGAAAAAAAATACCCAAACATAAGTCATAGAGAAAGAGAGAAAGAGAGTGAAGCAGCATCTCGCACGTCTGGCTCGAGCACAGCGCTATTGTGTTTAGGCTCTGGACATTGCTCATTTTCTGAAAAAGTACAATAAATTAGTCAAAAGAATAGAGAGGAAGAGAGTGAAAGAGAGTCATGTTTGTAGCAGCTGGACGGGAGCACGCCCGCGAATAAATATACCAATAGCCGGACGGCCCTCGCGTACAGAGTTTGCATACGCGCGAGCGCACACGCTCCCTTGTACACGGGCACGCGAGCACCAGCACTCATACGAGCAGGCAGCAAGTAGTATGCCGTAGTATGAGTGCTCACACGCATAGGCAAGCGCAACGCTGTATGATTGCTCGCACGTATGAGCGGTCGCGGCACTGTGTGAGTGAGCGCACGGATTAATAAGTACTGTATATTATTGGAGTACGCTATTATGCTTTTTTGCTCGCATTCGGCTCGTGTTGCAAACCCTCGTTTTGCTGAAAAAGCTTATTCACACAATTTGCCTACAATATTTTGTGGCACAAGAGCTTAAAAGTAGCAGCATAATTGCGATTTTCGGAGTGCGATAAATGTTATTTATTATGTTTAATTTTACAGAAACGAGTCTTTGGCAAGCTCAGTTTCGTATCCGAAGATGAAGAAAACGATCCAAGGAGCACAAAAAGGAAAAGAGTCACGAACAAAAATTAATAAATTATACGACACATTGGAAAAGTTCTATGATCACCTACAGCAGTTTCCTTAACTGCTCAAGAGCAAGGAAAGATCAATTTCAGCCGAACTAATCAAAACGTCATTTAAAAACCAAGAACTGATTTTGTACGACGCAGCACTCGTCGAAGAATTCGATAATAACAACGATATGTTTGCCGATGCAACCTTCAAAATTAGCCCAGATATCAAAGGGGTGTATCAGGTCCTCACAATCATGTGTAAAAAATACAATATAGTAAGCAATATTATTTCTTCTAGTGGTGCTGAAGCGTAAATGAAGTCTCCATTCCCTCTTCACCGTTTCCTCACGTATTTTGTAACCTTTATCGCGTTTATTTTTCATCCTCGTCCTTTCCCCGCATCCTTTTTTCCTCTTTTTACCACCAAACTTATATGACTCGTCCGCATTCTCTCATCGTCGATTCCGCGTGTCTTTCCCTACCCTCATAGGCTTTGTTTTTCGTCCTTGCTTGCCTTTCTCCGTCTTCGCCCTTTCTTTTCCCCATAACAGGTTTTTCCTCTTTACCGCGAAGCTTAATATGCCTCGTTCACGTTCCCTCGTCGCCGCACTCTCGCTTATTTCTCTACTTCTTTCGCGTATTTTCATTGGTATTTGCTTCTGTTCTCCCTCTACCCACGTTTGACCCAGTAAATTATTATGTTATGCGACGGACAGCCTACCCCGGGCGGGTGATTCAGCTCAACTGGCGTGCACTTTTGTATGTGGGGGCCGCTTTACCTGACTCGAGTCCCAGAGGAGATATTTGACCCGTCCCAAAATATAACAAATAATCACTGCGACGCGAATTACAATCTTCGGCTTACGATACGGCGTCGTAGCCGCTTACACACGCGTTGGGCACTTTCCGATAGCCCATGGGGGCCGAAACTTGCTCGCACGTTACTATCGGCCCAGTGTCGTTGCTACAACACTCCCGTAGCCTCACTCACACTAGCACACTTGCTCACACACACACACACACACACATACACACACGGGTGGCCCGGCAGCCGCGCCGACCAACGACTTAAAAGTACCTTAAAATTACCCCAAGTTCTTCGGCGCCTCGCTGCTGCACCGATGCCCTATCGTTGATGCTCTAGGTGTAGTCTTCTTGGCCCAGCTGCTGCTGCTCCCCGCGTCCGGGCTTCGTCGTGTTGTCTGCGTTCAATCTTCTCGTCCTTCTTCGGGCGCTCGGACGAGTCTGCTTCGACGTGTCTTGCCCACCTGGGCTCCGATCTGACCCGTACACGCGATTCCACACGGACACTACACGGGCACTCGTTCACCCGCGTCACAAAAACGACTTCAACAATCACTTCAGCGAACTTCAGCTTTACGCACTAGCTCGCGTTTTCCTGCGTTTTCTATCACTCGGTTTTTCACGTGGCCTCCTCACTCGCGCATTCTAATCTGCCTCATCCGTCGTGGCGAAAGAAATTCGCACGGTGTCTAATCGGCTCTTTTCTGTCCTTCTCGCACGTGTCGATGCTGGGACACGCTTCTGGCTTCACATTATTATTCCGACGGGCCACTGCTTATTAGCCACCTGAAAACGCGCGAGAGATAGTCCAGTCAAATTAGTTTTGAACGAGAAAAAAATTCGCAACCAGCGTTTGTCACCGGGATTAGTTAGGGTTCGATAGTAGGAATGAAGTAATAACAAATGCCACAGTTGAGTCGATTGGAATTTCAACAATTGAGCCCTTTGAAATTAGGAAAATCGGTTTTTCGGCTACAGATTGAAAACCGTACATTTTATGAAAAAAAGTTTCAAACAAAAGTTGTAGGTCCTTGCAAGACCTTCAATTTGACATATATAACATTGGAAATCGGTTCATTTGATTATTAAAAACGCCTCAATTGTCAATAACAACAAAAGGGACTTACAGACATCGCAAGAATATCTAAGTGGGCTCAAATCAAAGATAATAACTTCTACTTTTGTAAAATAACATATGTTTATCATAGATTACAAAATAAGAAGCAATTATCTTTGATTTGAGCCCACCTAGATATTCTTGCGATGTCTGTAAGTCCCTTTTGTTTTTATTGAAAATTGAGGCGTTTTTAATAATCAAATGAACCGATTTCCAATGTTATATATGTCAAATTGAAGGTCTTGCAAGGACCTACAACTTTTGTTTGAAACTTTTTTTCATAAAATGTACGGTTTTCAATCTGTAGCCGAAAAACCGATTTTCCTAATTTCAAAGGGCTCAATTGTTGAAATTCCAATCGACTCAACTGTGGCATTTGTTATTACTTCATTCCTACTATCGAACCCTAACAAATCCCGGTGAGAAACGCCGGTTGCGAATTTTTTCACTTTTAACATAGAGTCAGATCTAACTGGACTGGACTAAGAAGGGAGACACACACGCATTCACTCATACATACGCGCGTGCGGCAGTCTCGGCGCGACGCATTTTCTGCGACTGCTCGACTAACTTGCCGACGGCTTGTGCTTCATCACAGTTGTTTAAATTAATTTGAATTTGTGAAATAAGATGTTCTTTGTGTGTATGTCCTCATGACGAGGAAAAACACTAAGGCTTATGAATCCGTGTGGACCTTTATGTAAAACAAGTTAAATATGTGCCCAGGTAAATTTTACTTACATGATTGATAAAATATTGAAGATTTAAGTCTAAAACTAATTTTTAGGTAATTGTAAGAAAAGTCAAAAGCAAAGGCTTTTCGCCTATTTGTGAAAGATAATGCGATAAAAAATCCCAAAGGACACGAGCTAATAAAAAATTGCTTGTACCGCCTTTCTTGCCCGAGGAAAAAATCGAAGAAGGATTTGAAATAGTGACAAATCGATTCATTAAACTTTGGTCTGATAAAGAAGAAGAATTAAGTAAATGGACTGAATTTTTAAATGGCTATTTCACAAAAGAATGGGTGAAGAAAGTCACGCCAATAACGTTCGGCTTGTTTAATAATGTGGATCGCACCAATATTTATTCGGAGTCGTACCCCAAGACTCTGAATACAAGGCTCCGTGCGAAGCCGAGCACATTCACTTTTATAAGTAGGTTGAGATTTTTTCTGAGATAATATTTTTTATACATTATAAATACGAATAATGTATTCATCGCTTGTTTACTTCCCGTGGCCGCGTTCTTTCTGTATTGACGGGACCTCGAATTGCATGCTTTATCTCTAGCTAGTGCCCGGACGAGTATTAAGAGATACATATATATTTTTTTAAATAAAAATTGTCATATATGTACAGTAGAATGATAACGCTAGCGCGCTGCGCGCGCCACTGTTCGAACGCCGTCGCTCACATGTGCGCTACTCACTCAGGCTTGAACCGCGACACTAGTAGCACGCGCCACATACATACCGTATTTCATACTTATTATTATACTTACTTAATAAATACTAAAACTAACGACTTATGTGTTGAATTATGTAATGCAAATACATTACAAAAATTGTGTTTGCTCATGTTTGAATTTTTGTGGCATATTGGTGATAACTTAACTTTCATTCTTTCATTCATGCTGCTTTGCCATACCGCATTATTTGGCACAATTATTCAATTTCTATCTCGGCCCTATGATGAAAACTACGCGGAAAAGATGTAACTGTAAAATCGGTTGAATAATACACGCGAAAACACTGGATTTTAATGCGCGATCACCCGAACACACGGTACGCACAACACGCAAAACGTCCACGGACAACGTCGTCTTCAGGGCTGTTCGGCGCTACGCACAGCACAAAATAATCCGCCATGATAACACGAAAATACGCTATTTTAATCGGCGCGACCAAGACTCTGAATTAATACGATTAAAAAACAGCAAAATTTCTGATCTAACCCAATGCACTGAAAAAGCGAGCAATGTTCTGAGCACTGAAACCAACTCAGTAAACAAAACGACACACAGACTAAGTAGCGACAAACAGATTTTTCAGTAGAGCGCACTGTACGATTTAGTAATACGCTGCAGTCAGGTGACTATATAGCCTTCAGGTGCAGTGCGCTCTACTGAAAAATCTGGTAGTCGCTTCTAAGTCGGCGCGTCGTCTCGTTTACTGAATTGGCTTCAGTGTTCAAGAACATTGATCGTTTTTTCAGTGTGCAGTACCAACAACGCTACGCAGTATCACGACACCGCGAGTCAAAGCAAAAATTTGCTGCTTAAAAAAGGCCTATATCGATCCAGAGTCAAAGTGCCGCAGCCGGGAAAAAGAATAACGACTTACGGTCGCGCGAAGGCCCTCCATTCTGAGTACGTGTAGTCCTCGATGTTGGCCCAGTAGAGATCCTGCATTGAGCTAATGTTTTTCAACAGCAGCAAAAAAACTAGACGACAATTTTTCGATATCGAACTTCTAGCTGATGTTGTCGCTAACGCTGGCGTGAACTGCGAGACTGGTTTCGCGCTGCTGTAACCCTGAAATATAGTAATATCTATCATATGCGTATTCACATGTGTGTGTGTGTGTGCAAAGCAAGAGCTCTTGAATAAAAATGATAAAAAATCTCGAAATTGCGATATACATCTAGCATACGCGTATGTAAGAAAGTATGTGCTTGCCTTAAGGAGACGCACCAGTATTAAAATTTGAAAATGATTAATAGGTGTTAAACTATGCATCAATCAAGTTTTAACAAATACAGAAATTATCTGTGCTTTTTTGCTTAATTTTGAATGCAAAAACCATTACAGACTCCTAGCGTATCAATTTTTATTGTAATGACCACTAAAACAAGTTTTCAGCTTCGATAAATACTTACAACAGGATTCTAAAGTGAGTTTTTAACCAATTTTAATTAAAATCTTTGTGAAAGTATTTTCCTCCACTTAAATGTAACAGAATTTTGAAAAATGTCATAAGATGCTTTAATGTATACAATTTCAATATTTTACAATTACGAGCGAGGGAAAGGCGCAGTGAGGATACCAATTCTCCTATAATACCAGGGCACAAATGCTTACTAGTGGGTAATTTTAGAAAAGAATAAAAAGAAAATTACGTCCATGATGTTCGTGCACGCGCGCGCGCGCGTGAATAATTATATGATGAGCTCGTATGCGACGAGAACCAACACAAACAGACTCCGAAATTTAGCTAAATTGTAATAAAGCAGGGGAAATAATGAAAAAACGACTTACTCAAACGCTGGGTAGTTGAAAGAGCTGTAATTGTTGTTAGATGATGCTCGACTCCGCGAGCATGGCGATCGAGCTGGTTTCTGATATTCTTTGTAGCTGCTGCTGCTGCTGCTGCAGTCAAACTTGTGGCTCGTCGCAGTGTCACAGAATGAAACTCGCGTAGATGTAATGCAACAAAAAACCCGAACGAAAAAATTTTACGTCGCAACTAAGATCACGTGATCGGTATATGCACAAGACGAACGATTTTCTTCGGAGCTCGCATGCGCGCAAACCCGTGCGTGTAATCAGGCTGCTGGATACAGACTGTGGGCTGTACATTTCCCGGCACAATGCGCAGCCTAGCGTGCGCATAAAAGAGGGGGAGAAAATCAATATCTCATTACGCCCGGACATTCCTGCTGAAAAAAAAATTTTTTTAATCACCTTTATTTATCTTTAGATAATAAATAGGTATTTTTTTTTAATTCAAAAAGTACGCTAATTTATATTAAGTATAAAATAAAGCGCTATTAAAACTGTAAGTAACTTGTCGGGTATGTACTTATGCTTATCCGTGCTATAAAATACCTCTTCTAGTAACGACGCAAGCAAGTCGGTGCAATCGATGCATGCTCCAGCGTAGTGATCGAACAAGACGGCGAGGTAGCAATAGGCTCTCTATCAGCCGAAGGAACTCGGGCTTATTCATCTTTCAGCTGACTCCGAAAAAGTAAAGCCCCTCCTATCTCCCACCGCTAGGTAGGGGAATCTGGCAGTGGCTTGAACCGGCATTGATACGATAAATGCTAACCGGTCCCAGGCGATGCAGAATATCGTCCCTGTACCTTCACGTCTTCATCCTGTTGATTTTTTCGAAACATCCTTGGATATTTGGGAAATTTTTGGAAATAGTCCGATAGCTGCATCGGCCTCGTGCCGCAGATCATCGAAAGCCTCCACCAACTTTCTGAAAAAGACAAATTTAAACGGGGGTGAGCAACTGTTTTACCTCTCTTTCTAGTAGTAAAAGAGTAATAGAGTTCAGGTGGGAGAGGAACGATAGCTGCTCCATCCACTGGCCAGCCAAAAGTGATATAATTTTCTACGGATTGCATAATAAACTCATACGTCTGGTACAGTGTACATGTGTAAATATATAGTAGGAGCTATTTATAAACGTTTTATCGATCGTTTGACATAAATTTTTTTTTTGATAATATATTATATTACTTCTTGATATGCTACAAAACTGAGTCAGATACAGACGTGTGCCTGCAGTGACAATATNGAGAAGTAGTCTAGGCTTTGCTGAAGAAAATATTATAGCTGTGAGTGCGTTCCTACCGGAGAACAATGAATCCAACAGATTACCAAGCTGTGCATCGACATCAAATGCCATAACATTATGCAGCTGTAAAAGCTTAGTGGTCGAATTAACAAGCAAGGAGCGAGCCAAAGCTGCAAAACTGAGTTGCCAGCAAAAGGAAAGTTTAATACATTTTGCCGAAGATCCCGCGAGAAAAGCACCGGTAACGTAATAATTATCATTAATCTCGAGCCGGCGAGTCAAAATCTTGGCAACCTGTGTGTCAATCGGAGCTGTAAAATCGCCTAATAGACAAATACTAATCTTAAAGCTAATAGCGAGAAATTCGGCTAGCCGATAATTAATTTTCACCGCCCGCAAATCGATAATATTTACCGCACGTACCGCGTTCGCGTTTCCCCGGCTGCTTCCAGGCTCTCGCATAGCTAACAACGCATCCTTAACAATAGCATTATTCAATACGCAATCGTGATTATTAAAAACTAACGATTTCGGTTTGAACTTCTTAAAGTGATCCCTGATAAACGCATTCACATTACTGAAATTGAAAATAGGCCAAGATGGGTCGAAATAGTTTAAACACAACATAGTGACGGCCATAGGATGATTGAAAAGAGCGAAGGTGAATTTATATGCGTCATCAGCGCCGAGGAAATGATAAATGCGTGCTAATACGGGGGTGTTCACGATGAAAAAATGAGCATCTAACGCGCGGGTGTCCAAAGGAGACTCTTCGTAATATCTCTTTGGAGTGATTTGAAAATAACGCCTGTCAGGCTTGATCTGCGCGTAACATGGCATATATTTTTTTTTTCCTTCGCTGTAAAACCCAACATCCAGCAGCGCTGACAGCCCAGCGTACTGTAGCTTTAAAGAGGTGAGCAGATTTGTGCAATTTAAGTGGCACCACGTCTTATTAGGACCGGGTGGGTGATGGATCCGGGTAATCGTAAAAAGCTTAGGGTCGGCAAATGGATTGAGCAGCTGCAGAATTTCAGGCTTCTTCATCTTTTTGCAAACGCCGAAAAAATAAAGCTTCAGAATCGGCGTGTCTCCGACCACTAGGCGAGGCAGATCAGGCAACGGCTCGAACGTCGATGAGTCCTGCCGGATACGCCCGGCGCGTGCCGGCGTCAGCCGATGCTGAATGTCGTCCCTATACTTGAACGTCTCGATGCGTGTAATTTCCTCCATAACGTCTTCACCGAGCTTGGCGATATCTGGGCACTTGTCGAAAACGGCCGCCGTCTCGTTCCGCAACGTGTCAAATGCATCAACCAGTTTTCTGTAATATAATGCAAAGCAGGATGAGAGAAAAGCTTAACCTTTTTATCTGATTTTCTATTTTGTGATAGAGCTCTTAGAAACACTAGCGCAACTATGTTCAGAGATGAATGATGGTTGTTTAAGAGGTAAGAAAGCGTTAAGTAATTTCTTAAGTAAGAGCTAATTTTTAAAAAATATTACAATTAGTACACGTGTTTTAAAACTATTAAAAGATAATATTCCACTCAGATCGTTTGACCAAATCGAAATATGAATCCGACACTTATCGAAAAATTCTTAATGATGAAAAAATAAGCATCAAAACTATATTTTAATTTTTTTCTAACTGAATAACATTGTACACTAGGTGTAAAGCCTGCACGTATAATGTAAGTGGCGACAATAACAATAGTACACGGGTCAGCATAGGCAGAGCCCTTCATTCGCTCTATTTACGCTTCCCCTACGGGAAACGAATCTTTTTACACGTAGTGTACGTGAGAGTTAAAATTATAGTGAGACGTGAAAAAATAAAAATCGTGAGACTGGGCATCCGAGCACCGATTATACAGTTACATCTTCTCCGCGTAGTTTTCATCATAGGGCCGAGTTAGAAATTGAATAATTGTGCCAAATAATACGGTATGGCAGAGCTGCATAAAAAAGAATGAAAGATAAGTTATCACCAATATGCCATAAAAATTCAAACATGAGCAAAGACAATTTTTATTTCAAAATAAAATATATTTATTTCTTAATACTAGTCCGGGTGCTAGCTAAAGACAAAGCATGCAATTCAAGGTCTAGAAGGTAACCAAGTGTCTTTCGATGTTTTTCGTTGTACGCTGAATTGTTTGTTTTTGGTTGACAAAAACTGGTTTGGTCTGTGAATCTATCATAGGCCAGATATGGTATGATCATCACACAATCGAATCTTACATTTTCAGTAAAACTTCAAACAGCTGTATCTTTGGTTCTAGAGGACCTAGAGAGTTTTTAAATACACCAAATTGAAGGAAATTTTATGCTCTTTAAGGCCATATAACTATCATTGGGGTTCAAGTTTGTCTAGAATGTGTAACTTTTAAGAAACAGAAAAAAAAATAACAATTGTAGTTTCGAGCGCGACACAAAATGTTGGACGTTTTATACTGTAACTTCAGTAAAAATTTAAAAAACACTATACAAATTTATATGGTTGAAAAGGCCTTTAAAAGACGAAGAAATTGGTTACTCGTTCGTTTTAATAGCAGCAAAATTACGCAACGTACAGCTGTGTGAAGATGGAAAAAGAACAAAAAAAAATTAATGTAACGTAATTTTTCAACCTTCCTATGACTATATCTTTGCTTCTAAGGCACCTAGAGGGCTAAAATTTTACAGAGAAACTCCTTTCAACATGTAAAACAAGCCCTGAAACTTTCAGCCCAATCGGCCAATCCAGTGCAGAAAAATTTGGTAACGATTTCATACTGAAGCATAAAGATATTGTTTTTACGAATTTCAAACTTCAGGCTTCATGCGCCACCTGAAGACATCATTTGTTCGCGCCCAGCTCGCGGCTTTTCTCTTTTTTTATCTTAAACTTTCGATAAAATACTATTACAAAGCGATCGGCGTCAAAAGTGTTTTTTCGTTCCGTCCTAATGTACGTATGTCGCAGATATTAAATCAATCGATAAAAAAAACAAACGATTCTTGTTTGAGCAGACCTATATATATGTCAATGTGTACATCTACTAGGGCGGTAAGTTTTAAAATTATTTTCGAAGAGAATTAATAATAAAAAATTAATTATTCATTAAAATCTAATTAAATTAATAATTAAAACCTAATTATTAATTAAATCAACTTATAATCGCATTTTTAATTAATTACTTGCAACCCCGACATATACATGCTCACATTGGCATATATCGCGCGTACATCGACGTCACTGTCTAGTGATTATTATTTTCTCACAACATTCGTTATAACCTGCTCAATTGTTGATCGACATGCCTAACTTTCGGATGATCCAATTTTACGAGGATTGCATTACGATGGATACTAATTATGGAGTAAAAAATCCTGCAAAAACACGGTAGGTATTCTGCACTTGATTATAAAATTTGCTATTTTGAAATTTTCTTTGTTAGTGTAATGATCTATCGATCATTTATTTTATAAATGCCCTTGCAAGAAATATGCATCACAAGTAGCGTACAGAATTGTACATCTCTTACGTTCAGATAATAACGTAGCGATATGAATGAACACACGAACAGGCGAGCGCGCCACAGTATGACTGCTCACACGCATAAGCTAGTATGCCGTAGTATGAGTGCTCACACGCATAGGCATTAGGCAAGCGCAACGCTGTATGATTGCTCGCACGTATGAGCGGTCGCGGCACTGTGTGAGTGAGCGCACGGATTAATAAGTACTGTATATTATTGGAGAACGCTATTATGCTTTTTTGCTCGCATTCGGCTCGTGTTGCAAACCCTCGTTTTGCTGAAAAATCTTATTCACACAATTTGCCTACAATATTTTGTGGCACAAGAGCTTAAAAGAAGCAGCATAATTGCGATTTTCGGAGTGCGATAAATGTTATTTATTATGTTTAATTTTACAGAAACGAGTCTTTGACAAGCTCAGTTTCGTATCCGAAATTGAAGAAAACGATCCAAGGAGCACAAAAAGGAAAAGATTCACGAATAAAAATTAATAAATTATACGACACATTGGAAAAGTTCTATGATCACCTACAGCAGTTTCCTGAACTGCTCAAGAGCAAGGAAAGATTAATTTCAGCCGAACTAATCAAAACGTCATCCAAAAACCAAAAACTGATTTTGTACGACGCAGCACTCGTAGCAGCAAGCTCGCAGCAACCTTTAAAATTAGCCCAGATATCAAAGGGGTGTATCAGATCCTCACAATCATGTGTAAAAAATATAATATAGTAAGCAATATTATTTCTTCTTGTGGTGCTGAAGCCTCCGTTCCCTATTCACCGCTTCCTCGCGTCTTTTGTAATCTTTATCGCGTTTATTTTTCATCCTCGTCCTTTCCCCGCATATATTGCAACTTATGCGACCTTTTTGAGCCTGGTAGTATGGCAACGATGCCAGCTGAGCACACATGTGTAAGCGAGTACTCGCCGAGCGCGAGAGGAGAAGTAAACCGACGCATTCGCGTTTCCCCTCGCGTCGACGGATTCGCGTTTATAGGACCACCTTGCAGGTTCCCACGCAGACTGCACGAGAGCCGCGGCCGCAGCGACGCTATGAGGGAGCGGTCCAGCGATCCCCATCCAGCCTCTTAGGAGACAATGAGCGCGGAGAGAGAATCTTCGATCTCTCTCTTTCTTGTCAGATGATTGACACACGCGGCAAATTTCCGAATATGAGTGGGAATTTTGCCGGCGCGATGATGCGAGAGAGCGCATTTCGAGCGCTCGAACTGGGTCTATTTAAAGAGCTGCACTGGCCTAAATTAGTCAGTTTTTGATAATTTAATAATACCCACCATAGTATCTATTCATTATCAAATTTTCTTTGCCATTTACCACATTTGGTGGCAAAGAGAGTAAATAACCTTTCCTAAACGATAATTCACCGCTGCCACTTATTCAGTGTCCGAGTGCGTGAATCGTGCGACAAGGCCTTGTACACTATTTAACTGTGGGAACATACCCCCGGGTATTCGATCCCAGCTACGCAAGTTAAAGGGTATAAGACCAGCGCGGATGAGTCTTATTATAAAATAAGAAACATCCTTCATTTTCCTTCCTATTCATCAAATCCTTAGTCGTGAGTTACAGTGTTTTTCGAGTTCTCCGTTTTCGTGCGCGCATTTTTAGGTATTGTTCAGCTCCGCCGTATCAACGACCAAACAGCAACTCCAACGTACGTGTGGTACGAGAAACAGCCGAGCAGAGCCAAGCAGCCAAGCAGAGCCCAGCAGCAGCAGCACGCAGTTTACCCAAATTTACTATCGGTAACAATCATCTTGTTAATCCGTGTTATTAAAATTATTCCGTGGTCGCAAAGTTCGATTCACGCTGTACGCCGATTGCTCATACTCTGCGTGTATGAAAAGACGACGTGTCTCGTTAATATTCCTAATTGTAACTTTGATTCATTGTATAATTGAAAGTTAACGTTACGTTCACATTCTCTTAATAAATAAAAAGAACGTATCTAATTAATATTTCTGATATCAAATAAAAACACAACAAATTTATAACACAAATATGTCCTAGAATACTCGAACCTATTTCTGTACGCACCTATCAAATTCTTAGACTCATTTTCAGGCGCGTCGGAGGTCGAATCATAGACCTACCGTGGTTCGAACTATAGCAACGACGGTAAGTCTAATAAAATTGCCGAGTCTACGCAGTAGCATCACTTGCAAATCTCGCATTATTATAACGTAGAGAAGGGCATGTAAAACTTGCCCGCGAAGCATTTGAAGCCGTGCTTCTCATCTACGCGCGCGCGTCGTATGATCATACCCCTCTCACTCGCTCACCGAGTACTCATACTAGGGCTATGCACTCACTCGCACGCGCTGAAGAGCCAACAACGTTGCATTATATGCCTCGTCCGCATTCTCTCATCGTCGATTCCGCGTGTCTTTCCCTACCCTCATAGGCTTTGTTTTTCTTCCTCGCTTGCCTTTCTCCGTCTTCGCCCTCGTCTTTCCCCCATAACAGGTTTTTCCTCTTTACCGCGAAGCTTAATATGCCTCTCGTCCATGTTCTCTCGTCGCCGCACTCTCGCTTATATCTCTGCTTCTATCGCGTATTTTTATTGGTCTTTGCTTCTGTTCTCCCTCTACCCACGTTTGACCCAGTAAATTATTATGTTATGCGACGGACAGCCTACCCCGGGCGGGTTATTCAGTTCAACTTCCGTGCACATTTGTATATGGGGGCCCGCTTTACCTGACTCGAGTCCCAGAGGGGATATTTCGCCCGTCACCAGTACGGGCGAGCCGTAAGACCCGTTCACTCACCTTCCTTCGCTTAGGCTTCCGATACCTGAAATTCTCGAATAGGTCAAACGAAATGAATTGACACGCGTTCCTTTACGATTAATAGAATTATCTTTATTTAAGGGCTCAAAGGGGGCTTGAGTAATTATATATTTCTATTCACAGTATTAAGCTGAAAAAGTGATAAAATTTTTTTTTCACAAAACAGGCATAAGAGCCTTTTTCAATACCCCATTTGAAAGTACTTTGTCTAGTTAAATACTTACAAACACTTAAATTAACTTGTATCAGCCTATGACCCTTCAGCGAAGAGCATTGAGGATATCTAAGCTGTTCGTCGTAAGATTCTAAGTGATGGCTTGACACGACTAAGTTCTAGGTCATTTCATTTTCTTCGATGGATCATTATCCATCAACGCAACCTCAAGCTAAGCATAAGATCAACTTTGACTACTTCCACATACAATTTAATAAAATATTTTATTCATTAATGATTATTTTTGATAAATTTTAATAAAATATTTTATTAAATTGTATGTGGAAGTAGTCACAGTTGATATTATGCTTAGCTCGAGGTTGCGTTGATGGATAATGATCCATCAAAGAAAATGAAATGACATACAACTTAGTCGTGTCATGCAATCACTTAGAATTACGGCAAACAGCTTAGATATCCTCAATGCTCATCGCTGAAGGTTCATATGCTGATACAAGTTAATTTACGTGTTTGTAAGTATTTAACTGGACAAAATTCAAATGGGGTATTGTATTGATAAAGCCTGTTTTCTGAAAAAAAATTTTTTCACTTTTTCAGCTTAATACTATAAATAGAAATATATAATTATTTAAGCCCCCTTCGAGCCCTTAAGCCCCACGAGGGCAAACTATAACAAATAATGACTGCGACGCGAATTACAATAGTCGGCTTACGATACGGCCCCTTAGCCGCTTACGCACGCGTTGAACACTTTCCGATAGCCCACGGGGGCCGAAACTTGCTCGCGCGTTACTATCAGCCCAGTGTCGTCGCTACGACACTCGCGTGGCCTCACTTACACTAGCACACTTGCTCACACGCACGCACACGGGCAGCCTGGCAGCCGAGCCGACCAACAACTTAAAAGTACCTTAAAATTACCCCAAGTTCTTCTGCGCCTCGCTGCTGCACCGATGCCCTCTCGTTGATGCTCTAGGTGTAGTCTTCTTGGCCCAGCTGCTGCTGCTCCCCGCGTCCGGGCTTCGTCGTGTTGTCTGCGTTCAATCTTCTCGTCCTCCTTCGGGCCCTCGGCGCACCTCACTTGTACGATTCTGGCTGCCCGCTCGGACGAGTCTGCTTCGACGTGTCTTGCCCACCTGGGCTCCGATCTGACTCGTGTATACAATTCCACACGGACACTACACGGGCACTCGTTCACAACGACTTCAACAATCACTTCAGCGAACTTCAGCTTCTCGCACTAGCTCGCGTTTTCCTGCGTTTTCCTGCGTTTTCTTTTTCGCGTGGCCTTCTCACTCGCGTATTCTAATCTGCCTCATCCATCGTGGCGAAAGAAATTCGCTCGGTGTCTAATCGGCTCTTTTCTGTCCTTCTCGCACGTGTTGATGCTGGGCCACGCTTTTGGCTTCACATCATTATTCCGACGGTCCACTGTTTATCAGCTACCTGAAAACGCGCGAGAGAAGGGAGACACACACGCATTCACTCATACATACGCGCGTGCAGCAGTCTCGGCACGACGCATTTTCTGCGAGTGCTCGACTAGCTTGCCGACGGCAATTGTGCTTCGTCACATTTGTTTAAATTAATTTGAATTTGTGAATTATGATGTTCCTTGTCTGTGTGTCCTCGTGACGAGGAAAAACACTAAGGCTTATGAATCCGTGTGGACCTTTATGTAAAACAAGTTGAATAAGTGCTCAGGTAAATTTTACATACATGATTGATAAAATATTGAAGATTTAAGTCTAAAACTAATTTTTAGGTAATTGTAAGAAAAGTCGAAAGTAAAGGCTTTTCGCCTGTTTGTGAAAGATAATTCGATAAAAAATCCCAAAGGACCCGAGCTAATAAAAAATTGCTTGTATTGCCTTTCTTGCCCGAGGAAAAAATCGAAGAAGGATTTGAAATAGTGAAAAATCGATCTATTAAACTTTGGTCTGATAAAGAAGAAGAATCAAGTAAATGGACTGAATTTTTTAATGGCTATTTCATAAAAGAATGGATGAAGAAAGTCACGCCAAAAACGTTCGGCGTGTTTAATAATGTGGATCGCACCAATACTTATTTGGAGTCGTACCACAAGACTCTGAATACAAGGCTCCGTGCGAAGCCGAGCACATTCACTTTTATAAGTAAGTTGAGATTTTTTCTGAGATAATATTTTTTATACATTATCAATACGAATAATGTATTCATCACTTGTTTACTTCCCGTGGCCGCGTTCTTTCTGCATTGACGGGACCTCGAATTGCATGCTTTATCTCTAGCTAGCGCCTGGACGAGTATTAAGAGATACATATATATTTTTTGAAATAAAAATTGTCATATACGTACAGTAGAATGATAACGCTAGCGCGCTGCGCGTGCCACTGTTCGAACGCCGTCGCTCACATGTACGCTACTCACTCAGGCTTGAACCGCGACACTAGTAGCACGCGCCACATACATACTGTATTTCATACTTATTATTATACTTACTTAATAAATACTAAATCTAACGACTAATGTGTTGAATTATTCAATGCAAATACATTACAAAAATTGTGTTTGCTCATTTTTTAATTTTTGTGGCATAATGGTGATAACTTAACTTTCATTCTTTCATTCATGCTGCTCTGCCATACCGCATTATTTGGCACAATTATTCAATTTCTAACTCGGCCCTATGATGAAAACCACGCGGAAAAGATGTAACTGTAAAATCGGTTGAAGAATACACGCGAAAACACTGGATTTTAATGCGCGATCACCCGAACACACGGTACGCACAACACGCAAAACGTCCACGGACAACGTCGTCTTCAGGGCTGTTCGGCGCTACGCACAGCACAAAATAATCCGACATAATAACACGAAAATACGCTATTTTAATCGGCGCGACCAAGACTCTGAATTAATACGATTAAAAAACAGCAAAATTTCTGATCTAACCCAATGCACTGAAAAAACGATTACTGATCTAAGCACTGAAACCGACTTAGTAGCGACTACCAGATTTTTCAGTAGAGCGCACTGTACGATTTAGTAATACGCTCTATTGTCACCTGAAGGCTATATCGACGGTCCCCACGAAGAGTAAACACGTTTACATTTAAATTAACACACAAACGTGTTACTCTTCGTCGGGACCGTCGATATAGTCACCTGACTATAGTGTATTACTAAATCGTACAGTGCGCTCTACTGAAAAATCTGGTAGTCGCTACTAAGTCGATGCGTCGTCTTGTTTACTGAGTCGGTTTTAGTGCTTAGATCAGTGATCGTATTTTCAGAGTGCAGTACCAACAATGCTATGCAGTATCACGACACCGCGAGTCAAAACAAAAATTTGCTGCTTAAAAAAAGCCTATGCCGATCGGCCGACATTTACTATCCAGAGTCAAAGTGCACCTCGTATTATTGGTTAATGATAAGTAATAACACAAAAATACGCTATTGGTTTAACAGTTATAAATTTTAATCGGAGCGACCAAGACTCTGAATTGATACGATTAAAAAACAGCAAAATTTCTGATCTAAGCCAATGCACTGAAAAAACGATCACTGATCTAAGCACTGAAACCGACTTAGTAAACAAAACGACACACAGACTAAGTAGCGACAAACAGATTTTTCAGTAGAGCGCACTGTACGATTTAGTAATACGCTGCAGTCAGGTGACTATATAGCCTTCAGGTGCAGTGCGCTCTACTGAAAAATCTGGTAGTCGCTTCTAAGTCGGTGCGTCGTCTCGTTTACTGAGTTGGCTTCAGTGTTCAAGAACATTGATCGTTTTTTCAGTGTGCAGTACCAACAACGCTACGCAGTATCACGACACCGCGAGTCAAAGCAAAAATTTGCTGCTTAAAAAAGGCCTATATCGATCCAGAGTCAAAGTGCCGCAGCCGGGAAAAAGAATAACGACTTACGGTCGCGCGAAGGCCCTCCATTCTGAGTACGTGTAGTCCTCGATGTTGGCCCAGTAGAGGTCCTGCATTGAGCTAATGTTTTTCAACAGCAGCAAAAAAACTAGACGACAATTTTTCGATATCGAACTTCTAGCTGATGTTGTCGCTAACGCTGGCGTGAACTGCGAGACTGGTTTTGCGCTGCTGTAACCCTGAAATATAGTAATATCTATCATATGCGTATTCACATGTGTGTGTGTGTGCAAAGCAAGAGCTCTTAAATAAAAATGATAAAAAATCTCGAAATTGCGATATACATCTTGCATACGCGTATGTAAGAAAGTATGTGCTTGCCTTAATAAGGGGATGCACCAGTATTAAAATTTGAAAATGATAAATAGGTGTTAAACTATGCATCAATCAAGTTTTAACAAATACAGAAATTATCTGTGATTATTTGCTTCATTTTGAATGCAAAAACCATTACAGACTCCTAGCGTATCAATTTTTATTGTAATGACCACTAAAACAAGTTTTCAGCTTCGATAAATACTTACAACAGGATTCTAAAGTGAGTTTTTAACCAATTTTAATTAAAATCTTTGTAAAAGTATTTTCTTCCACTTAAATGTAACAGAATTTTGAAAAATGTCATAAGATGCTTTGTACTTTTACTTTATAATGAAATGTAAGAATTTAATGTATACAATTTCAATATTTTACAATTAAGAGCGCGGAAAAGGCGCAGTGAGGATACCAATTCTCCTATAGCACCAGGGCACAAATGCTTACTAGTGGGTAATTTTAGAAAAGAATAAAAAGAAAATTACATCCATGATGTTCGTGCACGCGTGCGCGCGTGAATAATTATATGATGAGCTCGTATGCGACGAGAACCAACACAAACAGACTCTGAAATTTAGCTAAATTGTTATAAAGCAGGGGAAATAATGAAAAAACGACTTACTCAAACGCTGGGTAGTTGAAAGAGCTGTAATTGTTGTTAGATGATGCTCGACTCCACGAGCTGGTTTCTGATATTCTTTGTAGCTGCTGCTGCTGCTGCAGTCAAACTTGTGGCTCGTCGCAGTGTCACAGAATGAAACTCGCGTAGATGTAATGCAACAAAAAATCCGAACAAAAAAATTTTATGTCGCAACTAAGATCACGTGATCGGTATATGCACAAGACGAACGATTTTCTTCGGAGCTCGCATGCGCGCAAACCCGTGCGTGTAATCAGGCTGCTGGATACAGACTGTGGGCTGTACACTTCCCGGCACAATGCGCGGCCCAGCGTGCGCATAACAGAGGGGGAGAAAAATCAATATCTCATTACGCCCGGACATTCCTGCTGAAAACAAATTTTTTTAATCACATTTATTTATCTTTAGATAATAAATAGGTATTTAATATTTAACGTTACTTTTTCAATTCAAAAAGTACGCTAATTTATATTAAGTATAAAATAAAGCGCTATTAAAACTGTAAGTAACTTGTCGGGTATGTACTTATGCTTATCCGTGCTATAAAATACCTCTTCTAGTAACGACGCAAGCAAGTCGATGCAATTGATGCATGCCTCAATCTAGTGATCGAACAAGACGGCGAGGTAGCAATAGACTCCCTATCAGCCGAAGGAACTCGGGCTTATTCATCTTTCAGCTGACTCCGAAAAAGTAAAGCCCCTCCTATCTCCCACCGCACGGTAGGGGAATCTGGCAGTAGCTTGAAACGGCATTGATACGATAAATGCTAACCGGTCCCAGGCGATGCAGAATATCGTCCCTGTACCTTCACGTCTTCATCTTGTTGATTTTTTCGAAACATCCTTGGATATTTGGGAAATTTTTGGAAATAGTCCGATAGCTGCATCGGCCTCGTGCCACAGATCATCGAAAGCCTCCACCAACTTTCTGAAAAAGACAAATTTAAACGGGGGTGAGCAACTGTTTTACCTCTCTTTCTAGTTGTAAAAGAGTAATAGAGTTCAGGTGGGAGAGGAACGATAGCTGCTCCATTCACTGGCCAGCCAAAAGTGATATAATTTTCTACGCGTTGCATAATAAACTTATACGTCTGGCACAATGTACATGTGTAAATATATAGTAGGAACTATTTATAAATGTTTTATCGATTGTTTGAGATAATTTTTTTTTTGATTATATATTATACTACTTCTTGATATGCTACAAAACTGAGTCAGATACAGACGTGTGCCTGCAGTGACAATATGTCAATATGTTTATATGACGTATTCCACGCCATATAATTTTCTCCATGAAAATTAACTTTTTTCGAAAAACTGACGCCACCATTGGAAAGAACAGACAAAAATCTATCGGAATTCATGTGTGCAATAATTTTTCAGACATAATTGCGCCAGCCACGGTGAGTTAGAAAAGTTGCGATACATTAAAAAATGCCCCGCGCGAGCGCATTGTCTGGTCGAGCGTGGAATACGTCATATGTCAATATGCATATGAGCCACTTGGTGTGCCCTTTGTGTACTTTGCTAAAATTTCCATATTCGCACACCAAGTTCATTTGCGATCGATCGCGTGCGTTCGCCAAAGCTACGCGTAATATTACGATTAAAATTTTATCATATTGTCTCTCGACAATTTACCGAGGTCGATACTTCATTTATTTGTATAGGCTGCCTAGCTCAACGTATGTGATATTAATTTATTTAAAATTAAGTTGTAGTCTAAGCCATTCAAGCTACAAAATGGCAAATATTATGTAGCTAAATCATATTCGTCATAGCAAAAATGTGCATCTGCCGAAATCGCAGAAGTGGGAAAAAGGGTTGCTTCTTCTAGCGTACGCGCGATGAAAAAGTAAACGTTTTTTTCAGGAGGGTTGGAGAAAAATTGTTTTTACAGCTTAACTCACTTTAAAGTCCCCCTGTTTCGACGAAGAGGCAAGTACACGAGCCAAGATAAGAACTGTACAAAGCAGGTTTATGCTCGGTGTCAATTTCGTATTTTTTTCTTCGTGCTGCTCTAGCAGAATGACGAAGTATTTCCATTTCTCTAGTAGCTGGATTCTTTCAACTCGAGCTTGCAAAAAAAGCTCCGGTGAGCACACAGTTGGCGATCAACGTGCGCTTATCAAATTGCCACCCGGAAAGTCAAAAAGGCAATTACGATAACGTGAGCTAATAAGGCGGACTCGTACTAATGTCGAGTTGCTACTATCATCGACTATCCGACGCAGTGCCTGACTCGAGCGATCGGAGAACGGCCTGGAACTGGAGCAGTGGCGAACGTTGGCAAGCAGAGGGGGAAAAGCAGTGGGAACGCCACAAGCAGCACTGTACAAGTACTTGCAAGCATATATAACCAGTTCGTGGCTCTTATTTTCTCGCTTGTCAAACACGCGGTGGCAACCCCGAAATATAGTAATGTCTATCATATGCGTATGCACAATGTGTGCGTGTGTGTTTGTGCGCAAATCGAGAGTTCTAAAATAAAACGGTTAACAATCTCTAAATTGTGCAAATCTTCTCACACGTATCTACACTGCGAAAAAAAATTTATTGATTCAATGAAATCTAATTTAACATTTTATTTATTATTAATTTAATCAAATGATTGATTGAAGCAAAGAAACTTTGGTAAAAACCATTAAATATTTTGTTGGATGAAATGAAAAGGTTATTTCAATGAAATTATTCCATACATTGTATTTAATTAAATAATTTTGTTTTATCAATGAAATTATTTTCTCAGTGTAGATTATTTGTACGTAAGAAAATATGTGCACGTCCAGCAAGAAAATAAGTCGGCCACCCCGCGCGATTACGGCATTTTTGGCCGAAAGTGTCGTATGTTTAGCTCGCTCGGAAACGTTTACCAAGAGGCAGAAAAAAAATCCAAACCCCATGGATCGATAGATTTTTTCCTCCTCTTTCTAGTGGTGTAACTTAAAGAATTCTTAAAAATTAATTTTGAGCTTAAAACTCGACTTGAATGTTTAAATCGATTTATCCAAAAAATGTATCCTCCGATTTCAATTTAAACCGCACCAATCGAAAGAAGAGGCAAAAATCTATCGAAAACCATGTTTTCCAGGATAGAGAAATAATGAAAAGTATTAAAGATATCGAGAAGAATAGCGCGGGACGGCGCGCGCGGACGTCTTTTCCTGTCTTTGTCTTTTTGAATCGCTAAAAAAATGCTGGAAAAATAATTTAAACACGTAAATCGATAGATTTTTTCCTCTTCTTTCGATTGGTAATGTTAATTTTGAGGTCAAAATTGAAATACTAGAAGAAATATTGACTTAATAATTCAAGTCAAGTTTTGACTATGAAAAAAATTTTTGGGAATTTTTTCAACAACGCCATCAGGAAGAGGAGGAAAAAAGCGATCGATTTACGTGTTTAAATTATTTTTCCAGCATTTTTTTAGCGGTTCGAAAAGACAAAGACAGGAAAAGAGGTCCGCGCGCGCCGTCCCGCGCTATTCTTCTCAATATCCTTAATAGTTCTCATCATTTTTCCGTCCTGGAAAACATCGTTTTCGGTAGATTTTTGCCTCCTCTTTCGATTGGTCTAGTTTATTTTGAAATCGGAGGATACATTTTTTGGATAAATCGACTTAAACATTCAAGTCGAGTTTTAACCTCAAAATCAATTTTTAAGAATTTTTTAAGTTACACCACTAGAAAGAGGAGGAAAAAATCTATCGATCCATGGGCGAGGTAATGGAGCGAGCTAAACATACGACACTTTCGGCCAAAATTGCCGTAATCGCGCGGGTAGGCCGACTTCTGCTGAACGCGCTCATATGTGCACGTCCTCAAGTTGTTTTCGTGCACTGTGCTAATCCAGCTATCCACTTAAGAGGGCTCTACACATTATACAAAAAATCATCCAACATGATAAAACTTATATCAATCGATTTTTTAGATCCTCAAAATGAGATTCCAAAAAAAAAGTGTTTGACGAACTAACTTTCGAGATAAACAAGTTTGAAAATCGCGATTTTAACACGGGCTCTTATGGGACGCGGTCTTTTGTTGTTCATAACTAATTTAAAAGATCAACCATCTTAATGAAAAATATATTTTCTGAAAGAGAAAGTTCCAAGCTTTCGATTGGTATGTTAAAAATTACCCCTTAACGAACTAACTAATGAGTAATTAAACAAAATCATTGATTTCGAATAGTGCGAGCGGTTGTCTGCCTGATGCGAGAAAGAGGCAGACAGATGCCTCGCTGTACTATTTTTATGATTGGTGTAGAGCCTCCTTAAGTTGGACTTGTCTCTAGGATTTTTTTTCAGCATGTATTTATATGTAGCATAATTTTGTTTACAAGATTTTATTCTGATTCAAAGAGGAAAAAAGTACACATACGTAGACACTCAGACACGTACAATACGTGAGCCCCTAAACTCCTATACGACGCCTGGAAAAATAAACAATCCCTAACGAAGGGTAAAGAGTAAAGAATAACCCTTGGTGACAGAGCGTTCGTTACTGGTTTCGCTCTCTCTCTCTCTCTCTCTATCTCTCTTTCTACCTTCTTTTCTCTGTGTGACTACCACTGTGCCCAATGGGGCTTGTCCTAGTAAAGTTTTTCAAATCAAATCGCTCTCTCTCTCTCTCTTTTTCTTTCTCTCCTTCTCTCTCTATTTATCTTACACTAAAATTAGCTCTAGGTGGGAAGGAAAAATTTTGAAAAGCGATTACTGCTTCAATTATAATTTATTTTATATATCCACGCGCTCGGCTGACGGACTGACGGGCGGACTATTCTCTGCTGAAGGAAGCTATTATAACGTATACAGGCTTTTTATTGATCGTCAGGCAGAGGTGATGGACGCCCGGACAATGTTTACATTACGGATTACGCACGGTTCCCCTGCGCATAATAACGCATATTATTGTATAATTTGACGAGCCTGCAGCACAATGTATCAGGAAATACGTTTCACGCCTTGGATCAATAAACGAATTCGTATTGACGTATTATTATGAGCAATATGGAGGGAAAAAAGTACATCGATATGCGCTCTATAAATTATTTTAACTAGTGGTATATCTCGCTTGCCGGGGTTGTTACAGTTTTGTAAAAATTTTAAAAAGAATTTA